TTTTTTTCCTGCTGCACTACAAGGCAGAGGCAGGATAGATGAGAATCTCCCTTCAGTTGTGATGGACAGAGGGAGCAAAAAAAAAGGTGGTTATGTGTGCCAGAGTCAAAAATTATGGATGAGCATTTGAAAGTACTGTTGAAGGCTTCATGTACTAGTCATATATGTGAGGATCTTGCCACTGATGAAGAGAAAAATTTATGGAGATTGGGTAATTCAAAGCCTTGTTTTGCTGCTTCATTGTAAAGTTAAAGCATTTGAAACCTGCCATGCAGTACACTTGTAGAAAACTATGCCATAAAATTGTGGAGCTGGAGTGGAAGCTGAGGACAGCCACTGGAGCTGGAGCTCTGAACACTTGCCTAATGAAAGTTCCTTCCATGGGAGTTGCTAGGAAGTCTTTGCTTTCATTTTCTGTATTTCCATGCTGTTTCTACTGTAGTCTAAATGGGCTCTAGTTTGTCACCATTTTTCTTTCTGGCTTGCCAAAAGCATGGTGCTACTCTGGGCAGCCTCACAGGAGAGGGATGCAAGAGGTGATGTTGATTCCAGCTTAGTTTCAAATGTATCCTATTTTGTTTTAATTTTTATTGCCTTTTATTGGAAGTCTTTGGAATGGTTGAGAGTCCTGCATTTTGTCTGTCAAAGAGTTTTGAATTATTTTCCCCAGATTTTTTCTTTTTAAAATACAAGTTTATACTAGCCAGGAAAATGTTACTAAGGCCCTTAGATTAGATTAGATAAATAAAATCCTTTGCTTTTAAAAATAATTTATTTCCTTCTGTGCTGTTGACTGCCTTTCATAAGCAGAAATGGAGTTCCCACCTGCTTAATAAGACATCAACTTTTTATTTCATTTTGACTTTCATTATAGTTCTTCAGGTTGTTTTCTTTGGTAGACTTCATATCTCTGCAGCCATCTTTAAGACTAGAACTTGATGAGACCTAGCTATGGGAAAAGCCATACAGACCCATCTGCTCACTTTTGAAGGGATTTGTTTTTTCCTTTTGTGAACCAGTTAAAGGTTATCTGTTGGTGTATGTTCTGGGTCTGGGCTGTTTATTACCTTTGATTCTCAGCCGTGGCTGTAACTGTAGTGCTCCAGCTGGAAACAGGCAGGCTGGACAGAGAGGTGTATGTACCCCAACAACTGAGTGACATCTCCTTTGCCTGCTGCATCTCACCAGGCGTTTAGCTTGGCTGCAGTCATTGACATCTTCATGAGGCTTTGTTAAGGGAGTCACAGCACTGGCATCTTCACACTGTTAAGGTTTGCTTTCCCTCCTGGACTTAGCTCCATTGGTTAACTTAGTGATTTTCTTTGGCTGCAGAGATAACCACTATCCATGCTTAAGCCTTTATTTTTTCTCTTTCTTACAGAAATTTGAGACTGAGACCCCTAAGCGCAGTGCAGACTCATGTCTGTGTTTTATACTGTGGCATAAGTGCAGGGATTTTCCACTGTTACTTGTTCATTTGGATTCCATTTTCCTAGTAACCTAGTATATCTGAGAGAATGAACCCCAATTTATATTTTTTTTTGTGAAGTACTTGCAAGATATATGACTGCTGCACAACTGAAAACTTGTCATGCTTTGATTTTATCCACATGGAAAGTTTGCCTGCTTTTGCATAAGTATTTGGATTGGATTTTATAAGCAAGTCTTTGGTGACTGGTTTAAAGCTGAACACGGGCAATTACATTGCACCAAGTGGCTTCACGTGTATCTGTTCTTTCTCTTAAATATTAAAAAAAGTAAAAAGTATTCTACAAGTTGTCTTTAAAATTAGTTGTTTGGACTATGTGTCAGTCTTGTTTGAGGGACAGTCTCTGTATTTTAACTTCTGAGTCTTGGATCTCATAGATAATCTCAAATTGCTCTTCAGCTATGTGAGAACACTCTTTATTACAGCTCTGTGAAGCCTTTGTAGAAATGGCAAGTGTGTATTCATCTCCTGAAAGCTTGTAAAGAATTTGCTGTAGCTTATGGTAGAGGTTCTCAGCCTACAGGAATGTAAACTAGATTCAGTGATATTAAAGATAGATGTTCAAAAGGAACTGGCACATGAACAGAATAGGGATTCTAATATATTTTTTAACTTCTGCAATTGTGCTATTTTAATTGACTGAGCAAAATGATCAAATGTGTGGTTTGGGGTTTTTTTTTTTACCTAGATAAAGTGTATTTAAGCTTTTTTTTTTTTTTTTTAATTGTTTTGCAGTAAATGTGACTTGGTCTGCAGTGCCTTCACATACTTTCCTCCACTGCTATTCATCCTGAGGTTTGGCAGTAGGCTCAAAGCTGTGCTTTAACAGCAGAAACCCTTGCTGCTCAGCCCCTCTCCTCATTTTCACTTTTATCTTGCTCTGCAAAAACAAAATGCTGGGCTGAACTTCTCAAATGTAAGTAGGTGCCTGCCCTGGTTGCTGGTTATCTGAATCAGCTTGGTGTATACCAGCAGGTTTTTACTGAATATCAGTCTTAAAAGATTATTTTTAAATTTTGCCATTGTGGCTTAATCTTATGCTGTGTTGTCATAGGCATAAACTTTATGTCTCCCAATCTCATCACAAGGATGTATCTGTTTAAGGGAGGGAACATTGAATGAGACAACTTGCTAGCTGAGATTAATGCTTGAAGCACAAGATCAGCACCCATAGTAGCACTGGAGGAAATACTACAGTTTGTTTTATTTGCTGTATTTATCAATGATGGTGTAAAAGTTTGAAAATCAAGAAATTACTTAGGATGATAAGTGCTTAAAACCTATCATACATTGCAGCAATCCAGAAAATAGTAACAAGGTAAGGGAGAGAATTTTACACTCATATATCACTTGAAGCTTTTAGAGAATGATTTAGTTGGTAGAATTAATGCTTTTTAATAGTTGGGCTTGATGATTTTTGAAATGTTCTGTTCAAGTTCTTGTGAAGTTGATTCTGGTATTGTGCACTGATTTGTCATTGCCTGTTTGGGGAAGGGGTTTAGTTTCCCAGCCTGGTAGTTTTGCGTTTCTGAAGCATCAGAAACTCTGAAGTCCTGAGCCTGCCTAAAATTCTGCTCACCAGCAGGTAAGCGTGCAGCTGTTTGAAGGAGTAGGTCTCACTGGTAAAGAGGGGAGGGCTACAGTCATGGATTTCCTCCAGGGACAGTCTGTAACCAGAGGTTATGTGTAATGTATTTTCTGTTTAAATAAAGGAAATTCCAGATTATGTTTGTATTTTCTGTGTATTTATACTGATGAGTGCATTGATACCGCACCACTTGAATTAGGTTATGAACAGACCTTTTGTGACTTAGGATAGTCTGAAGGAAGGTTTCAGCCTTAAGTTTTAGACCTTCCAGTCTAAAAGCAAAGATCACTAAGAGAGATCTAGACTGTGACAGAAGTACCCACTGCACAATGAGGCGTTCCAAGAAGAGAATTTTATGTCAGAAGCAATCAAGTGCTTTGACCAATCACTAAAATTTGTGTTTCAGCAAGGAGGGTGTATTTGGTATGGATTTTCAGTTTTACTGATGTTAAACACGGAAGAAGCCCCACTCTTTGTAGAACCTTTTATTTGTATAATCATTATACCAACAACTTTTAGTACTGGTTAAAAGAATATAGCAAACACATCACCCATGCTTTCACCTTCCGGCTGTTTCAGGGAGTGTGTTTGCAGTGCATGGTCTTGCTGGGGAGGGATTTCAATCTGTGTGTGGATTGCTGTCCTAGCACTGGAAAGGAAGATTGGGGAAATATCCTTGCCACCTGGGTTGAGGTCTCTGCTGTGCCTACTGATTTGATTACCTTGAGAAACCCAACCCCTTGCCCCACATTGGCCCCTCAGGATACTTCATGCCATCTACAAATTAGCATCATCCTGCTTACATTGAGGTCTGCTGAAGTGGGAGCTTCAACTGCAGACTTTTCCTGGGCTCCAAAGAAGCATTTTAGGCAAATGCTTCACATCAAGTTTTGATGCTTTGATACGAAACCTTAGGATATGACCAAGACCTCCTGGCAGCTGTGCTGAAGCCTGAAGTCTGAGCAGTAATGCCCAAAGCTAAGTACAGCTGTGTTGGCTGTGGTGAGAGAAGGGGTTTGTGCACTAATTTCTTGAAAGAGATGGAAACTTTCTCTAATGGTTGGGTCTGAGGGCTTTTGTGCTTTTCACTTGACATCTAGAAATAAAAATGCACAGCAAAATTGTGGGTTGTAGTAAATTCAATCAGAAGAGACTAAATTGCAGGTACAAATCTTTAGACTGCTTGCCTCTTCCCACTCTCCTGTTTGAATCTGTTATAGGGAACATGCAGGGTGTAGGTTTTAACATCCCCAGCATTTGCTGCATCTGCTGGGCATCTTTGCAGGCTGCAGAACTGGCTGCAGTGGCTGGACCACAAAAGCCATCACTCCGTGCTCCACCATCCTACATGCACAAAGAAGTGCCTTTGGGCACTTGTGCCTTGTGCAGCGTGTTGCACTGTAAGGCATTGAGACAAGCAAAGTGACAGGCAAGGTTAATTGGCCTCAGTGCATCATTAAATGTGTCAGCTGTGCTGGGTTTTGGGAGGGGAACAGTACCCCTGTGCTCTGTGGCTCCCCAGCACAAGAGTGGGCTGGGGACACCTAAAGTCCTGGTGGATGCAACGCTGGCATGTCTTGAGTTTGTTGCTCCCAAGTGCAGCTTATTTGATCATGCTGCAGTTTGTGTGGATTTAGAGGAGTGATCAAACGTGCTGAACAGCAACTCTGTGCTCATTCCCAAGCATGGCTTTTGGTCTCTAGTGGCAGACCTCCTTTTAAAGCCCAAGTTGTGTTTTCTTAAACATTTTATCCTTTAGAGTGTTGCACGTGCATTTTTAGATTACTTGAACGGGCTTCCTGTCTCTTTGCTTGGATATTTTTTCTTTTTTTTTTTTTTCTCCCATTGTGCTTGCAAGTCAAAGAAAGAATTAAAATTTTCCATGTACATACATATATATGCCCGCTTTTGCTTTTATGCTTCTCTCACACAGTCTTTTACCGTGGGTGAGCGGAACTCTCAGCAGAGAAAGCAAACAGAGAGAACCGACCCATCACCCCCCACCCCTTGAAAGAGCAGAGGGCATGTGGAATAAATCAAAATGCAAAGCATAATAACGAGGTCCCATGGGAAAGCAGCCTTGTGATTGTGTGCCGGCGTGCACTCCCCTTAGAGACGGCCGCCGGGGGCTCCTTTCTTTCTCACTCGCATGTCCCCTCCCGATGTCACCGATCCATTCACTGCCCGGAGAATTGATTAACATTTGTTGGGAGACGGGGAAAGAGGGGAAGAGCGGAGGGCAGGAGGAAGGGGCGCGATGCTGGTCCCCACGGTGTGGCGAGCCGAGGCGCAGGGTGGCTATTTTATAGCTGGGGACCCTGGTGACGTATAGCTGAGCGAGCTGGCACAGCTCCTCCTGGACCAGTCAGCGGAGCGAAATTGAAGCTGACAAGACTTCTCTGGCATTTTGGAAAGGACTGTAATCTACTGTAGGGGAGAACAGAGCCGCTCAATCACCGCCGCTGTAAATAGGAGACGGAAGGGAGTGAGAAAGGAGGCGAAGAGAAAAAGTGCTTGCTGGGGGGGGAGGGGGGGCGGCATTTTTGGTGGATGGTATGAAGCCAGCCATGGAAACTGCAGCGGAGGAAAATGCAGAACAAAGCCAAGAGAAAAAAGGTACCCAGGGGTCTAACAATAGCCTGTTTAAATCTTTTCATTCAGGGGGCTTAAAGAGGTTTAGGCCAGTTTTGTCACTTTTTCAAATAGCTCTTAAACAATCATTACTGCGTCTTCGGGCTTTCAGCCGTCCTTTCCTGCATGGCTTGACAACAAATTAATAGAGCATCAACCTTTCTGTCTGTGTCTGTATTTGCTCTGAATCTGTCCTAACCCTACCCGAAATGATGCTTGCAAAAGAAGTCCCGTTATTGCTGCGTCTCTGACAGATTTTGGTTAATTTGGTTTACAGAGGTAGCGTGTGCCTGTGTGTTTGCATGTTGTTTTTGGAGCCGTAATCTGGTGTTTTCATCGAGACTGGCCATGTAGCAACGCTTTGCGATGCAGTGTGGGAGACCTCGGTTATAGCAACATATAATAGATTATAATGTCACACAACCTTCGTGTAGTGAACTCGATGCCAAATGCTACTCTTTATTTTTCAAATTCCTTTTCTATGGTGTCATCTGGCAAATTTTACTTCTCTAGCTATCTGCCTGCACTATGATGGGGGGGAACAATGCAATGAGTTTTGCAACATTAGATTTCAGGATGTGTTAATCATTAAGAATTGCTGCTTAATGGAGAGAACAATTCCATGGTAATGGTTCTGTTGTAGGGAGATGGCAGCAATGAAAGAGAGGTGCTCCATCCATCCCAGCTTTGCAGGTTGATTCTGTTTGGTCTGGAGTGCTGAACTTCAGAGCATAAATTCAACTCGCAAGGGATATTTTCTTTCTGCATTGTATAATTTGTGTCAAATAACCGTTCCTCTTCAGTGTAGCAGACTACAGATCACAGCAGTTTGTTGCGTTTTTTTTTTAGTGAAGAGTCTTTCTAAAAAACAGGTAACGTGATTTCCCATGACTTTACCTTCCTTTTCTGTTGGTAATTATTTAAATTTCTGCTGTCTTTTTACTTGAGTCATAGTACATTTTTTTAACCTGTTGTGTATCGTTTATAAGCAATCGAGTATCTCATCTGAGTATCTCATAGGCTTAAGCAGCTGATAAACAACTAATGCATTTCCCCAAGCAGAATTCTTTCATCGATTGTTAAGTAGTTCAGATATAAACATGATAAATCCCGGTAGTGTCCAGTAACAGATTTTGTTTTCCTACTTTGAATCTGACTCCTGCTACACACTTCATATGAAACAAGCTTCAGTTTCAAGTAAATGAAATTTGTCAAGTGATTAGACATAGTACTACATAATCCCTTAGGGATTTCACAAAAGGAGGTCCACTGATGAGAGATTAAACTCTGAAAGCCATTAGTGTATGTGGACAATAACCCACCTCACTGCAGATTTGAGTAATTAATGTACAAAATGTCTCTAAAAGACTGACTATAAAACCACCTTGGATTGATAGGTCATTCTCCAAAAATTACAGCAATTCTTTCTTCTGAATGACGAGCTTCTTTTAAGCCAATGGAATTCATGTTACAATGAGCACTAAAGAAAGTTATCTGTATGCATTAGCAACTGCGCAAAACAAAATGTGTTGCTGAGTGTGTTTATGATGAGTTTATGGCTTCCCTTTTGTTTTGGCAAGGATGAAAGAACAACATGTAGAACAGTAAATCTGCTTCCAAGTCAAAGAGGTTGATCTGTTGCTTTCATCAAATGCAAGCAGGGAGCCTCCTATCCCAATGTTACCACCATTTCTTAATTTTTTTCTATGATAATTTTATACTTTGGATCTGTTACATAAGTATATGTATGTAACACTTGTAGGCTTTGTTCTTGCCCGTTCTCCAGTTCCTGAAAGTAACACATGGTCTCTCACATTATGCTCTGTATTTCTCTTCACTTAAATTCTCAATATGCTTCACAGCAAATTAAAATGCAGAAAGCTGAAACAGTCCTACTCCTAATTTCTATAGCAAAACAAATAGACCAGATCCCCCTGCAAAGTAACTGCTGTGAAGTGGTCATGGAGGAGACATATTTGGTTTTGAGGGACAGATTTTCCAAAGTGCTAAATCTGTGAAGTCCAGTTGGGTTTTCAGATGGGCTCAGCAGGCATCATGTACCTCTCAAATGTGAGAATTTTTCAACAGAGCTCTTTCAGCAGCTCCTGTGGAGGCAAATGGGTTTTTTTCTGTGTAAAGAAAATTGTAGGAAAATGCTGCTGCTTTATTTTGGAGTACAGAACAGAAGAAGACTCCTTCATTTACTCTCTGGACCACATCTCTTACTTGTTATGCCTCACATGCTTGCCAGCCTTGCAATATTTTCTTCTTCCTCTAGGATCGTACCTGGACTTGGTAATGGCCATCCTTTATGAGATGCCCTAGATCGAGTGATTTCAAGGCAGCTGCCACAGCTTGAAACAGTTGAAGTCCTGTCACAGGGTCTTTTAGCTCCTCCTTCTAGAAATTAATTACAAAGCCTAAGGAGATAAACCATCATCTGAAGGGGTTTGGGAGATGCTGCTATTGCTAAGACTGAGCAAGGGAAGATCATGAGCATTCTGCTTTGGGTACTCAAATTCACACTCAGAATGGTTTTTACCGCCAAGTTCTGGGAAGGTATCTGCATTTAACTAATAGAAAATCATGTTTTTAAGCTAAGAGGTATTTTCCCTTAGCCAGAATTTTAAGGTGCATATTTCTGGGGTGTGCTTTCAATGCAAGGACCTTCTTGATGATGTGCTGCATTTTTGTGGAATAAATACTTGGAGGAAGTCGGGCTAGGACTACATGCTGTCTGTGTACAGGTCTCCCAGTACTTTGGAGAACCCTGGGTGCATTGCTGCTGGAGCACGTGGCATGAACAGCGAGGTCTATTTTCAGTTTGAGCACCTAAAACAGTCGTACATGAGCACTGGTGCCACACAGGTATTGGTTTGTGTTTCCCTTCTCTGGGCAAGCGTGCACAGCCAGCTATTTTGGACTGCAGTGTAGCTGAGACAATTTGCACAAGCTAATGTGCTTTATGAATAATTACAGATTTATAAATGAAAATTACTGAAAATTATTTAGACTTTTAAATTTCCTAATCTGTATAGAATTCCCGTGCTATCTTTTAATAATTTTCATGAATCCCCTGCCTGATTCAGGCAGTGATAGTACCCAGCTGATGGATTCAGTGTTTATCTGACATTTGTTTCTCTGCACCCAGATGAGTGGCTGCTGTCCCAGTTTTTTTAATTGGAATTGGAACAACCCTCATGTTGATGGAGATAAGAAATAAGTCAGCTTTATGCTGTGTATCAGCAGCCCTTATCAGAGGAAAACACCATGAAAGCTGAAGCAAAATGTTTAACAGATACTTTGCAGGACTGCAGGACAGATTGGATGCATTTTAAAGATGAAGGTTTACAAATTATTACAAATGACAGGGTTTATCTTGCAGGCATTAAATTAAATCAAAACGTGAGGACTGGGCAGGCAGATTTACTGAGGTGGAATAAATAAGAAAAACGAAATGCCATTTTGGATCTGCAGTGAAGGCTATAGATCCTGATACATATTAACAGAGACAAGAAGTTTCCCTTTTCATTTAACTGTGAGAAATATTACTAAGTTGCAAAATAAATAAAAAAACCCCTATAAATAATTACAAAAGAAAATAAACCTCAACTGTGGATGACCATGGTGAATTCAACAATTACACACAGGATGGAATAAAGACATGATACTAGGGTTTACCTTCCTTATATGAATACATATGATGTTCAAATTGCCTATGTTCTGCTGAGGAATAATGAAGACCACTTTGAGCAGCTGTACCAAAGGTCCATTTTAATTGGCTCTTCCCTGCTTATGTTCTCTTGATAAAAGAAGACCTTGTGCTCAGTAATAGCTGTGAGCTTTATTATTTTTATGGTATATGAAGCCATGCTTCAGCTTTTAAGCTCTAAATAGACAAGTACATACTAGTCAAAAATAGAAAGAAAATACTTTGTTTGTCTTATACTATTGCACACAGTTGTACAATTGTGTTTAAGTGAAGGCGTAAAGTGCAACGTGAGAAGGGAGAAAAGATTTCACAAAGAAAAATGTGATAGTGTGATTGATGTGCAGTTTATTTCACTTTTAGTAAAGTTATTTTTACACAGTGAGCTTATAACATTTTGATGCATCACAGATGTATTTTTCATTACAACAAACTGAAAAAAAAGTCTTTTTTAGAATATGTATTATGATCATCAGCCAACATTTCAAAAGTACCCACCTATGTTGTCGCAGTGGTATGAGAGCTGTCAAGCCATTCAAAGATTTTTAGTACGCTGCATATTTCCCCCCATTTTAAGCAGTTGATTGGTGTTTCAGATCCACTGACAGCAATAACTGCTCTAAGTCCCTGAAGAATACGACTGTAGGAAGAGAGGTCCAGCCCTGGGAGAATCTGGGACACGCGATATTCTGGGGATAATAATTTGGCAGGCTTAGTGATTTAGGTTTTAATGAATAGGATTTGGTTTCTAAATAGGAGGGGGTTGAAAAATACTCAGAGAATGCACTCATACTGGTCTGAACAACCTCGTGAAAGCAGAAAACCTAGACATATGTGCCATGGGATATGGTAATGGGGGTGGGGGAAACCCAGATGGCACTGTATACACACAATGGATTTTGCAGCAGGAGCAAAGGGGGCAAAGACGGGGGGAAGGTCTCCTTCAGATACTCTGACCCTTCCCATTTTCTGCTCAGCCTTGCTCCTTGTCCAGTATTCATCACCAGACCACCACCAAACAACACCCTCTCGTTGCTCCCATGGACTGCTTCATCAGCTGAGACAGATGAATATCAAAACTGTGTTTCCTCTAAAACCATATGATAAAGGCAGCAAGCATGAAGATGTTGAGCAGTGCGAGTTTGATTACAGGTGTGCAAGATGATTCATTCCAATGAATATTGAACACCACAGTTGCCTGTGTGGTGTGAAATGAAAGCATTGTCAGTTCTGTAGCTGCTGTGTCTGTGCAGGATTGAGGACAGCCTGCTTCTGA